TTCCCAGCATTTATGCATTAGCTGGAAAACAAAGGCCTGGGAATAACAACTTTTGTGATCAGCAGAGCCTTTGCATGGGTCAGGAGAGCCCTCTGCAAAACCAAGCTCCCTGCCCGTGTGAAAAGGGCACATTGGAGGATTTCTGCTCAGCTGGCCAAGCTGTCATGGATCTTTTGCTGTTTCCCTGACTCTCCAGCCCCTCCTCTGGCTCCGAGCATTTGAGGCTGAGCTCTTCGGCCAAACAGTCCTTGCTGAAATGTCAATACACTACCAGGTCACTGGCTCACAGGGTTCATCATGATTTCCAGGCAGTGTGTGGCTCTGTCTCTCTGCTTTCTGCTACTGATCCCCCTTTCTTTGGATGCAGGTATGTTGCAGGATAATGGCTGTAATCATATTTGCTGGCAATGAACCTCTTTCCTCCTACTGAGACAATTTCCACTGCAAGTTTTCAGCACTGTTGCATGTTTGTCCTGTCTCCTGCTGTGCCTAGGAGTTGTTCTAGGGCTCCTGGTTGCTCTCAGTTGTGGCTCCATGCACTTGTTCTGCCAACTATGGAAAGCACTTCTAGACTGCTAAATGATTCTATCATCTCATTGCACAGACAGCAGGCAAACCACCAGCTGCCTGCCCAGTATGTGAAGAAGAAAACTGGGATTTATTATTTCGTAGTGAACTGGGTCAGTTTTCATAGCAAAGCATCAATATTTATCATTCAGCTGAGGAGTAATTAAAGTGATGAGGATCCAACCAGTTTTGGCAGCAGGAGAAGGTACTGAGGAAGTAGCTCAGTGGCTTCAGTACATGCCTGAAAATCAGCTCCCATATTAATAAAGTAGATCCAGTGCTTTCAGATTCCCAGTTAGCCACTGACTGGGTCTCCTGCACTGCAGTGAGGAAAGCTGGGAGAATATGGAAAAAAGTCAGAAGTGTTCAAAATAAAAGTGGGTGGGTGTCCCCAGACATGTGTCCTGGCACACTCCTCTGTCAGTCCATGCCCATGCACTGGTGATTGTGCTTTCTTTCCAGGGTATAAGGTTAATTAAAAGCCTTTAAGAAATGCCATGTTAAATGCATAGAGCCTGACTTATATCACAGCAGAAAGACTCAGCTGACATTGCTATAATGACCAAATGTTTATATGAAGACCCTGGGATAAATTCAGTGCATGCCATACAATGCTTCATTCCTTCAAGTAACTTTGAAACACAGGGGGAAATTACCACTATTTCACATGGAATTCAGCAAATATTCTGATTAGACACAAATGTTTAGAGAGGGTCTCAACAGTCTGGGATAAGCCCTCTCAGCATTGATTTTGTTGTATGTTGGTGGAGACACACATGAGTCTTAGCATCCCTTGGGGCTCTTCCAGGAGGTAGAAAGTAACTCCAGGTCTTTCAGGGGTCACATAGTGGAGAATGTCCTGGGGAAAGGAGGTGATATGCACCATCCTCAACCCCCCAAACTACTCACAATCCCAGGTGAAACAGCTGAAGTGCTGAAATGCAAGTTGTAGTCATGGAGCCTCTCTACTGACATGAGGGGGGAAGAAAGAAGAAAATGAATGCTTTCAAGACTCATTCTGTTTAATGCATGGAGCAAAAGCACACAGCAGCACTGGGACCTCCTGGTCCTTATCCTGAATTATACTAGGAGAGCATAGTGTAGTATGCTTGAATCCTAAGGCTGAGGAGCAGGTCAGCATGGAGACGATGGTATCAGTTCTGTCAGCTGCAAGCTGATGAAGCTCTAGGCAACGAGCTCTGCTGCTGCCTGCTATCAAACCTGTGTACCCCACGTCTTTCCAAAGCATGGTAGAGACACACGAGGAGAAGCATCCCCACCGTGGCTGTGATCTGTGGTGCTGACAGGACCTAGGAGCCATCCACAGGCTCCACTAGGAAATGCAATCAGCATCATCCAACCTTTCTCTGCGGCTTAATGCAGCTTCTGTACAGAAAAAAAACTAAAGATAAATGTGTTAAAGCAGTGGTTTGTAAATTGTGGTCTACTAGTGGTGGGCTAAGTCCCTTCTTCAGGTCCAACTGAAGAGGTGAAGGAGTGTGAGATGTATGACTGTGGGTGAAGGGATGAGTGTTGTCCACCTGCCACCAAGAGACCTACTGTAGCAAGCACAGGGAAATCAAGCGTTACCATGTACAGCAGTGCTAGATACACCAACACAGGCTCTTCAGCTGCTTGAACTGAAGAGAACTGTCTGAAGAAAACAGGAAACCTGTTAGGACCTGCTGTATGACATGCAGGTACCTCAGGAATCATTGGCATACAGCACTGGTGTAACATGTCATCTTCTCCTGAGCACTGGTCTCTGTAACAGTCATGTGCTGCCCCATTACCTGTGAGACAGGCCAGAGAAAGGAATCCCTTTCACATTTGCCCATTTCTTCACTCTCAGAAAAAGCTTGGGAAGCAGAAAACCTTCCAGGGAGAGATGGTCCCCTCATGCTCTCTGCCTGGGGAGTGCAGCTGTGTGACAAACAGAACATGCCACTGTTTTTTCAGTCTTTCTAAAACAGGAAGAGGCAAACAGCATTTTGCAAAGGCATAGACGAGCCAACAGCTTCTTTGAAGAGCTAAAACTGGGGTCACTAGAGCGAGAATGCATGGAAGAGAAGTGTTCATTTGAGGAAGCAAGAGAGATTTACCATGATGCTGAAAGGACAGTAAGTAACATGGGGCTGGGCAAGCACTCACTGTCAGAAGGACTCCCCCTCCTCAAGGGTGTGCTTTGACACTTCAAACCATGAGAGTAAAAAAACCCCTTAGAGTCCTGCTGTTTGCTGTTTCTCTTACATCTCTAGGGGGACATGTGGCAGCAGTGGGTTGCAGGAGGACACTCTGCATGGGCAGTACCTGGGGGGTAGTGGTGGATGTTTTCTAAGTCTCTGCATATAATTCTATGATTCTGTTAAATAACCTCTGAATAATTGAATCA